TTTTCAGCTGCAGTCAAAAGTCGTTAATTTGGACTCGTCGGGATTTCGGCGATTCCGGATTATCGATTTTTCCGGATTATAGATCATCAGTTAAAATCTGTTAAGATGGCATGCAGAAATTATAAAATTAAAAATATGAAACCGTAATTTATGAAATAAAGAACAATTATGATCTAAAGGGTATTAAAATTTACCAAAAAAAGAAAAAAAAGCTTAATATTTATTTGTTTACTTTATTAAACATTTCTTTCAATGTAATTTGTTTAAGTTGCTTCCTTTTTTATGTGATAATACATTCTCTTTAATTCTATAAACAGTCATAATTTCTTGTTCAGTTACAAAGTTCCGCTGTTCAAGTCCTATAATTGCTGTGTCGAGAATACCGACTAATTTGTCAATCAAAATTTTTTCATTTTCAATAACCTCAGTCACTTTCTTCGCTATCAGAAGCGAATTATAATAACGAGGAATTTGATTTAAGTCGTATCAAAGACGGAGTACATCGAGATGAAATACTACATTTAGTAAGGAATTATAAACCAAATAAAATAAAAACATCTGCCCTGAAGATAAGGATAGTGCTGACAGATCAACTTCCAATTCATTGCGCGCCGCAGCGTTATAAACAAACGTTAAAATTTAGAAAAACAAAGGATATGCCTTTATCCATTTTTCTTTTTGTTTAATGGACTTCGAAAGATACTTTCGCTTTGTAGATCCTTTACATATTAGTAAATATATATCAGAAATTCTATTTGACATAATCGAAAGTTCAAGATTACTTTTATAAAATTGCTCTAACAGTCTGCAAAAAATAATAAGCCAAATCTAATTCGAAGATTAAGGAACAATGCAATCTGCAACATTAACTGAATTAGATAATTAGCTTAGCTTATACCGTCTGTTATACATTAAACGCCCATTCGTAAATGTATTTTGCGCACACGCATATTCGCAGCCGTAAGGGTCTTACGCGCATGCGTCGCTCGACGCATGCGCAGAAAGTTTGTGGCCTTGAGGTCCGGATTATAGGTGTCAAAATTAACGACTTTTGACTGTATAATGTTTTATACATGTAGTTAACTTGAATTTATTTAATTATTATTTTTTTGGAAATTTAGAACCACAAGCTTAAGCTATTTATGGTCGAGGAACCACACTTGAGAAAATTCGTCGAGATAGATTTTTGCCATATTTGGTGCCAATTTCATGTGTTTCCTATTAATCAAGAAATATCTTTGAAAGGGGAAAACTAGTTAGTATTTTAAGAAAAAAGAATTGGGATATATGTATTATCTAAAATGTATTGGTCTACCATATTGTAAAAAATATGGTATGTGCCTGGTGTATTTCAATTTTTAATTACCTTTAAAAGACAAAGAAAGATAAGGGGTAGACAAAGACGTATAACTGTAGGTCAAAATGGTCAGTTTTAGTCCACCACATTGGGCAGGGTCATTGCAAGGTGCAGTCGTGTTTCCATGATGATCTTTTGCAGTGAACCTTGTTTGGCAGAACACAATAGGAAGAAAGCATCCTCTCTTGTAGAAAGTTTTTTCAAAAATTGCAGTTTAAAATAGTATTTTATGCACTTAAGTTCTTATTTTTTATTTTAAATAAGCCTTAGGTGATGAACATGTTCTCACATGGTCCTGTATTCGAGTCAACAAATGAAGTATAAAATTCACGCATAAATTTTAAGAAAATTGAAGCAGAAAAAGGCGCAGATATATTAATCAAACATATGTGTAAATTAACAGTTTTGCATATATTTTTATTTCTAACACTGTGTTGTAAAGAATAATTATGAATTAATATGTACTTAATGTGAGTCGTGAAATCTCAAATGTTTGTTTGCAATACTTTATCCAAATTAAGTTTCAACTCACTTATATCAGTTCTTAATACTGAGTGTAAATATTCATCAGTAAATTGTGATTGGTATTTATTTTTTGTGTACTCCACTAATGAAAAAAAAAAAAAAATTCTTAAAAAAAAAAAAAAAAAAAGTATAAATTAAACTAAATACAACATAATCCAAAAATTTTTTCAGATTACAATGAATGTTCTCTTTTTTATTATTATTATAATATATATAGCAACAGCTTTCATATTTCATTGTTCAATTTCCAAATTAAAGCCACTGGAAATGATAGCACTATGCAAACTTCTTTTGTAGTTTGCATACAAAATTAAGTAAGGAAGAGATGAAAATGTTGTTGCACGGGATTTCGTAATGTGCTGCATTAAGCTATTAAAAGGGTCACATTTGGTCCGAGAACCAGCTTTTCCTTACCTATACTTTATAGTAACCCTTCCAGCTTCTATACATTACTGGTTCTTCCAATCCTGAAAGCAGACCTAGAATGTTTGCATTAGCATATAGCCATTACATCTTAAATTATGTTTTTTTAATTTTCAAAGTGATCAAAAGCAATAATACAAAGTCTCTTTCATTACTTTTCATGGAAAAATGCAAACTCGTGTACTTTACAGACAGATCCATAATATATGTAAGGTAATCTAATGAAATTTTATTATTCTAATTATTAAATATGCCTTTCTGTCATCTAATTAACTGAACAAAAATGATATATTCAGGGTTCGTACGGTCTTTAAGAGTCCTTAAAAGTCCTTAGATTTTTTGGAATCGATTTTTCGTCCTTAAAAGTCCTTAATTTTGGCCTAAATCAGCAGAAGGTCCTTAATTTTAATCATCTGAAATTTCTGTCTGTTTTTACGACTGTCATTTTGAGTGTGAATTAGCATTTTGAGGAATATTTTTGGCGATTCACTGCCGTATATATGGTTATCTTTTGAATGGGTTCATGAGTTTTAATTTGTTTCTATTTCTAATATGAATGATGGGATATTCGAGTTTCTAAGCAAGAACTGAAACATAAGCATTTCGAAATTCATTTCTTTCTAGTAAAGAGCTCTTAAACAACTTTTCGCTTTTGGGGACGTGAATTCTTTTATTAAGTGGCTCTAAATTTGGCGACTTTTCAACATTTTGGCGATTTTAAGATTAGTTTCTATAGAAACATTTTAATTCCAGAATATGAGAATTTTTCGACGATTTTTTTAAAACATCGTTACATTGATAATTTTTATTAAAATAATGGTAATATATTAAAATTATATTTAGAAAATAACATTAAAATAAAACATTTTTATTTTTCGCTCTCATACTGTGAGCTGTAATTGATTTTGTTAGCATCAGAACATGCCTTTATGTTTGTTCTAAGTTCTTTTTAAATAAGAGGCTTATTTAAACCTTTGTCTGATATTGTAGTTAATTTCAGACATAGCGATAATATGCTTCACGTCTGTCGGGGGTTTTGGACTATTTAACTTTTACCTGATCAATTAAACCCTCATAGGTGCGCATTGTGGAGAAGTTGACAAGTTAGGAGATAAAGCACGCAGAAACTAGCGAGAGCATTGGTTTGCATAGAGAGACAAATCTCTAATTGTTATAAAAGATGCTTAAAAGAAAAGGAAATCGATATTAAACGTTACAAAACATAAATGTTTTGTAGGTTTTAATGTGTAATTAATTATCTTAATATCGTTTAAAAATCTGTGTCATAAATTACATGTATTTTATGCTGTGAAATTTTATTAGATTTTGATTTTAATATGGCTTTTTTTAACAAATATTGTTAAAAAATAAAATTTAATAGTGGTCATGTAAATCCATAATGACTATGGTTATCAAACTACCTAATTTAATTATTTATAACTAACTGCTTATCCTTAAAAATTATCTCTACATATTAAAGTGAGTTATTGCCTTTCATTAATACTCACTGTGGTCACAAGATAAAATATAAAAATGTAAAAATTCAAGTAAAACATATTCTATGTATCTACTGAGATAAACTGTTGTTTTTTAATGACATTAAAAAACAACATATCACATCTGGTGCTTTAGTGGCTTATTGGAACCTTAAAGTATATTAACTGGGTTACAACCCCTGGAACTGTACACGAAGCTACGACACTAACTGCATCAAACAGAGCCTGACTTAACTTTCAACACTTTCCAACCTTGCCTACATCAGGCTTTTAATGTTTCTTCTAATCAGCAGCTCTCTCTCTAGACAAGCAGCAGCGGTGACAACATTAAGTCTTTTGTTATGAATCATGCTGATTATGATCTTACTTCTTATTTTAACCTATGGAGTTTGACATAAAATTCTACCTGCTTATTTACTAAACCTCTAGGCTGACCAAGTGTGTGACAAAATGAGACATAAAAAAATCAACATAAAGCTAATTGTTAGTAAAACGTAAATGTCACTTATCTTCTTTCAAATATGACCAACTATCATAAGTGTAAAATATTTAATGCTACTTGATAAATTGCATAAAGTTTTTTTTTTATTCTCAAACTTATTAACGATTATGTTAATTAATTTATGTTTAGTAATAATGCGTACTACTTAGGGATCTATTTTATTTTTAGGATGGTATTACAAAAGTGAAATTCAGGCATAGATAATATCTTCAATTGAATTTATTCAGTTCCCATTTGCACGTAGGTCCTTAATTTTTTTCATTAATGGTCCTTGAAAGTCCTTAAAAGTACTTAATTTCCGTATGCAGAAATGTGTACGAACCCTGTATATTTCTGCCGCCTCATGTGAAGCAAAGAGACCCCTGTTATATTCTGTCATAATACATTAAGTATTTATCTAAAATTTATCTTAGCTTCAGATTTGATGTATGTTAGTTCAAGTTGAAAGCCAAATCTTATATCTAGCACCGTTTTATTAAATTTTACAAAATTCTGATGTTATAAAATTAAAGAAATAAGTTTAATATGGCATTTTATAATATTTCACAGTCATAGAATCTTTTAAATCTGCCAGTACAAACCTATTTGCTAACACTATTTATTTCAAAGATTTAAATTTTTTTTTTTGTTCTTTAATTCTTGCAGTGCAATTTCCAGTAAAATAAAATGTGCTTTTTAAATTTATAATTTCTTTCAGGTTAATCTTCAGTAATGGCACAAAAGGGTTTTGCCTCAAACAATTCCTTAAATATGGATTCATTTTTACATGTGGATAAAGAGATTGAATTCATAGTTGATGATAGTTCCTCACAATATTCCTTTGCTGTGCCAACTGAGAAAACATTAGAATTGTCACGAAAAACGTATTCAAAGAAGAATCCAATCACATATCATCATTATAGTTCTTCTCCAGACAAGATGCAGGTTAATGGAAATACATCTGTAACAAATACTTGTATTCTTAATCAAAGAAATTCACCAGTTGAACAAAAGAAACTTTTGAGAGGTAAAAGGAGTAAAGATTCACATCCTATAAATTCGAAGTCCATGCCTCCTAAAAGAATGAAACGAAAAGAAACAAATGATATTAAAATCATACATCATAAAATAAATGTGCCTAAATCATCAAATAAATTTTATAAAGGGGTTTCAAACTCTAATTTAGTTGTTGATCCTGAGATAGAAATTATAGAAATTAAACAAAATTCACCTAAATCAAGATCTGTTGGCCTTCTTGAAACAAATATTACTGTCACTCCAAATTATTGTAGTGCTAAAGGGAAAGCTAAAGACAAGTTAGATATTTTGCAGAAAAAGAAAAATCCATTAAAAATGGTGCCCCAGCCAGTTTCTGAACCATGTTATCCGTCTAATGATGAAGTGTTGATAAACGAAGCTGATACAGCTCCTATAATGCCAAGCTCTGATATTCCTGATGGAACTGTTATTGAGGCATCAAATAGCATGATAAATGCATCTACCTCAAGGAAGTGGCTTTCTGCTGATGGAACAGTTAGATTTTCACAGTTAAATAGTGATAATTCTCCTGCTGCCAAAGGAGCTAAAAAGGATGGGGGAAAAATTTTACTTCCATCACAAAAAAAATTTGAAAAAAGCAGAGAGCTTAGAAGATTGTATAATAATTTGAATGAAATTTCTTGGTTTCATGAGAAAAGCTTTCAGAAATTATTAGTTAACAAAAAGGGTCATATTCAGCATTTTGATAAGAATTTGCGTCACATAAAATCAGCTTTGCTACATAGACTGAAGCGGCAGCCTATGAAAAAGTCTGCAGCAAAGATCGTAGCTTTGAAAAAAACAAAAATTGCAAGATTAAAACATAAAGTACCTGCAAAACGTTTGCCTTTTAAACAGGTGAATAAAAAGGTACTTGCCTCTAAACAAATCAGTAAAACGAATACCATTAAGCAAAACATGAATGTTATCAAAAAACATGGTACTTCTAATCTCCGTACAAAAAAGCATATCATTAATCGAAATAATAATAAAAAAATTCAGAATATGAAGAAAGGGACGAAAATTAATAGCATTAGCAAAAAATATATTAATGCTGAAATCAGAAAAGAAAATATAAAGAAAGGAGTGAAAATTGATAAGGGAAAACAATATATCAATGCTAGAATTAAAAAAGAAAATAACAATGCTGGAATTAAAAAAAGAGATATCAATGCTAAAAATAAAAAAGAAAATGCCAGTACTAAAAGTAAAAAAGAAAATGGTAGTAGTAATGCCAAAAAAACCGTTAATGCCAGTCCCAAGAAGTTAATTGTTATGCACATTGGTAACAAAAAAGATAATGTTCTAAACACCAGTGATAAAAAGAAGGTTGTTACAAGTAGTGAGAAAAAAATAAATTCTGCTAGTACCAGCGGCAAGAAAATAAGTATTACTGCTCCCCTCATGAAGAAGGCCAATGCTGTTACTCCAATTATGAAAAAGACAAGTGTAAATATCAGTGATAAAAAATTAACTGCCGCTACTAATTTTAAGCTGAATAATACTGACCCGAAAAATAATATTAAAAAATCTAAAGTGATGCCTAAGATAGTATACAGAGGAAAAAATAAAACTGTACCCAGTTCAAGAATGGATTTTTCTGTGGCTTCTGGTAGTGGTCTGCAGAATGCTTGCAATATCTTCAAGACAGATGTATGCAGTTCTAATCCTTCGGCTTCATTGCTGAAAAATATGTATAAAAACTTAGAAAAAGTTGAAATCTCAAATGAAGTAGATATTTATCGTAGGTTTATAAGCGGTGAGAAGGAAATTTATTCAGCTTTTCAAAGAGGTTCAAAACTGAGAGTTACTCTTGAACCTCTTGAACATACTGATTGGTGGACAGATGAATGCTATGAATCAGTAAAGAAAGAAATGTTGCAGCAAGCTCTTCTCAAAGGTATAATGTATTTTCATGTTTTTATAAATGTTATTTATTAGTTGACTATTTACAGTATTGCTTTGCTTAATGAATGCTATTTGTTCTAAGATGGTGTTCGTTATGTAGGGTGTGGTTTCTAAGAGATTAATATGAGAACAATTTAATCTCATTTGACTTCCATGAAAAATTGTGTAGCATGGAAATTTTAGAGAATATTAAAAATACCACCAATACTGGAAAATCTAGTAATTGAATTTATTAGTTAAGTAATGAGAAGTTTGAAAGTGTTTATATACATTATGTGTATATAATGTTTTACAGTTTTCAAGTTTAGTTTTGTGTAAATATTTTCAGTCTTCCATTAGAGATGAAAATCTCAACTGTTTTTAGTCTTATTGCACATCTACTTTTTTTTTTAGAGTCGGGATATTTAAAATTATCTTAAAGTAATTTGCTTTTCCCTGTTCTTCAAGATGGTCCTGCAGTACTGTGCAGATTTGTTGAAAAGTTCTGTGCTGACATCAGCTTCATTGTGAAATCGCCTTGAGCCTTCCCATTTCTTTTACATGTCATTGAGGATATTACATTAGGCATTCATATACTGTTTTTCTTCTCACTGAAAAAAAAAAAAAAAAAAAAAAAAAAAAAAATTCTCCTTGGATTTCCTCATATTGTTTAAGATGTTTGCAGCCCCCCCATCTGCAATTATTTTATTTTAGAAATTAATCAAATTATCATCAACCAATTAACTGTCTTCATCTACTAATTCTGCAACTTGCATACATGGACCTTATAAGAGATAGACTAACCCAGTGGGCGGGGCGCATGTCACCGACATGTCTGCAAGAAAGAGTAGGGATGATCTGATTTACTTTAACACTGAAACCTATGGCGTTTGTATCACATAACTCTTTTTAATTATTAAATGTGATACATTGTTTAGTGATGAGATTATGAAAGCCAGGATTTTTACCAAATAGGATTTAATATATCTCATTAAAGTACTTTTTACTGAATTTCACGCATTTTTTTTTTTACGCGTAATTCTTGTACAAACATCTTCACTTTGGTAAAACAATAAAAACTCTAGGCACAAAATTTATGAACTTAATTTGCATACAAATACAGTAAAATTAAATAAGATTGATAGTACGTGATGCTTTGAAATAAATAAGGTAAAATTAAACAAGATCTGATACTTTTTTTTTAAATTTAATGAACGTTTTCAGGCAGTGATTTTCCAAACTTAATAACATTACAAAATGATCATTTATTTGATTATATGATCATTAAATTATTAACATTAAAGTGGATTATTTATTTTAATAATTCATTGAATTCGTAGCATAAAATTTTCTGAGTGTAATGAAGAGGAAAAAAAAAGATAAAATAAAATCTAGAAGCACTCATTTTATATTACGCCCAAAAGGGACCTTTTTTAATGGTGTGTTACCTACTATATTTATTGAATATCATGTTCTTCGCCCGTATACCACATAAAATTCAATTCAACAGCAATATCACAGAATATTTGAAAACAGCATATCTTTAGAATTTCCCCGCTGGACATAAAAATGTTATTTTTCGTACAGCGTTACCATTGCTCGCTTTGAACTCATTGAGTTTATTAATAAAAAATTCGTTAAAGTTTTACAAAATATGAAATAGATTAAAACAGATTCGAAATTTGGCCATCCAGATGCCCATGTTGAAGTGGAGGATTACATTATTCAAAATTTGATGGCTCTAGATACCGTCGTTTTTATCACAGTGCGAGAAATTAAAATATTTAATTTCTTTAAATATAATACAGGGAGATAATATTTGGTAACAACAATTTGCAAGGAGAAACGGACATTTATAGTGAAACAGTGCAAATGCCACTTCGAGCTAATAAATTAAATTAACAGTAAATAAAAAAAAACCTTATGCAGAATTAAAAATAAATTAAAAAAATAATCACTATAAAATACAAGCAAAATTAATTATTACGGTTAAATACAATTTTAATATTAGAATTAAATGTATAAAAATTAAGATGTCAAATGTGTTTATCACTATGATGTATTATGAAATATAACTGAAATAAAATTCCTCTATAGAAATTGTGCTATAATACTCATCTATAATTTTAAAAATGCAGCACAATTTAGAATTTTAAACAAAATTTTCAAAAAGTTCGTTTTTAAATATTTTAGTATTTTTTTACTTATTTAGACCAATAAAAAGCATGAAAATTGCTTGTTTGCAATTTTCTACTAGTTCAGATTTAAAGTGTTATTTTCTAAAGGAAGTAGTTACAAATTTCTTTACAGCGTAGGAAAAGCTAAAAAAATACCCAGCCCTGAAAGCATGCAATAGCTTTATTTGGAATGCTAACTATGCTTGATAAATATGCTAAATTGTTAAAAATCAATCTCAGTTTCAAAAATAAAAATACATAGAAATTCTAATTTGAGAAATGAGGCGTTACAACCAACTTTTTCTTGACAATTATACACGCTGCAATAGCCAACCATTGTAAGTTTCTGCAAGTCGTCCCTACTCCTCCAGATGTGATCAAGGTGACAGCCGGGAATGCGTCAGAAGAGGGAGAAAAGCCATTTGGGTTAGTCTATTTCTTATAAGGTCCATGCTTGCATACTGATTTCTACATCCTGCGTACATGCTATTTATAATATTAAGAAATATCTTTGCGTGTTCACCTCTCTACTTATTGCCTTTTTATTCGCTTTAGGTTATTTTCTCTATTTATACAAGGTGTAACAGAAAGTAAACGTTTACATTAAATTTAATTGTGTGCTAAGTTATTCATTTTGTGATTTGTGTACTATGATTCTACAACTCTAAAACTAATGAGCAGACTATATAAATGGAGAACTAACTAATTTATTAATGGCAATTAACTCCATTTAGTACTAGTACATCTCTGACATGTTGCTTAGTCGGATCCAGATGGCCAAGTGTCAGTTTCTCTCCATATCCAATATTGTGGCACTGTATTCTAACTTAATGTACCACCATCACTAGGGAGACAGTTCTGTATATCCTGTTCTACTGGGCCAATTGACGAAATTCAACTTGTGATTTTCGTGTCTCAAAAGTACGACTTGGGATATGTATTAGATTTATATATAGCGTTGTTCTAATAATAGGTATTTTGATACAAAATCAGACTTTTCTGAAATGACATTCCAATTTTTTTTCCATATTTCATCTCTACCACTCAAATTACGCCAAACTGCCAAGTTTTGTAAAAATCACATGAGTAGTTTTTAAAAAATTAGCTTACAAAATTTTAGCTCCTCAATGTTAATTGAGTTTAATATATATTCATTAATATCTCCTTTTTTTATTAAACTTACTTGATTCTTCCTTTCACATTTCAAAATTTAGGTTCATTCCAAATAAAATTTACCCGTTTTTTTTATGATTTATTGTTAAATAATTTTTATAAATTTTTCAAAAATATTTTGAATTATAATCTATAACATTTTTACCATCATCTTAAAGTAGATGTATTTCTAAGTATAACTGCAAAAAAATTAAAATTTTTTATTCAAAATTTCTGAAGATACCATATTTGACGGCATATAAGACGCACTTTTTTTCCTAAATTTGGTCTCAAGAAAAGTTACCTGCGTCTTATACGTGAAGGACACAGGTTAACTTTCAATACTGAATGCTATTTTTAGCCCAGCTAAAGGTCTAGACACACATAACTTTTTCTACATCTACATGTGTGTGGCCTTCTAAATAAGGGTGCGTCTTATATGCCGTCAAATACGGTATATATTGAAGTGCTTTTTGAAATTTGGCATATTTGTTGAAAGCGATAATAACATGAAATGTGGGTTAGGCACTTTGTTAAAATTATTTGAAAGGAGAATGATGTGACTTTTTTTCCGCTCATGCACAATGTAAAAAGGTAGAAACGATGTGGCTTTTTTCGGTCCTTCACAATGGAAGGGAAATGAAAATGAGTTGCCATATATTAAGAAGTTTGCCAAGTGAATTATTCTTGGCACAAATTGTAAAAAAGACGGCAAGATAAATTTGTGAATTTCTCCGTAATTTCGCACCGTATTTTACAAAATTAAATATTTAGGCATAATTTGAATAGTAGAATAGAAATATGGAAAAAAATTGGTATGCTATTTCAGAAAAAGTCCAATTTTGTATCAAAATATATATGTTTGAACAATATATAAATCTAATATATATCCCAAGTTGTGCTTTCGAGACATGAAAAACGCAATTTGAATTTCGTCAATTGCCCCATTAGAACTGGAGATACAGAACTGTCCCTTCCCCCCCTTTTTTTGCTCCTTATACATACCTGATCATGATATTTTTTAGCATCATCCAATTCTTTAACAGTTAGAAAACTTACTAAATTTTTTCCTTTACAATTGGCTTTAAATCTGCAAACAAAACTTAACACATGGATAATATGAGTATAGTTATTATTAATGTTAAGAAATCTAAAACAAGGGAATTTAAGTTCACATTTAGATTAACTAAGTCATTATCCTTAAGTTTAAGTTCTTTGACCTTTTCCACCTCAGCCGTATCAGATGAAATTACTTCATAAGGCTTAGTCAAGAATGTTGGTCCCTACCACTATAAATAATTATGAAGAAGATCCTTAGGTTTAACTTCCCATGATATTAAATCAGGTGGATTATTAAGAGTGCTTACAGGGTAACACTTATGAACAGCAGTCATACTACAAATAATAGACACTCTATTAGCAACAAATATCTTTAGTTGATGACTTTCCTTCTTAATCCATGCTAGCATTTGATGAATCAGTGAAATAATACACCTGGACTATAGGTAGTTGAATGGCCTCTAATATTCTTTTCATAAGTTTTAAAACAGATATGCATCACAAAGTTCCAAACGAGGAATGGTAATTGACTTCAAAGGTGACATGCGAGACTTGCTGCACAGAAGTCTTGATGAACATTTCATATAAATTGCAGCACCACAGGCTTTCTGACTAGCATTGCAGAATCCTGTTGTTTTTATTTGCTATAATCCATTAGCTAAAACA